ATCAGTTCTGCATTTACACACCCTTCCAGGAAGACAGCAGTAGCTTCAGTGATGTACAGTGTGGTCCCTCAAATAATGAACCTTTTTATCTACAGCCTGAGGAACAGGGACATGAAGGGAGCCTTGAGGAAAATCATCAGTAGGATACCATCATTTTAGTGATTGTGTCATTTGTTTTGGTGTTGGGACTCTAGGATAGGTCAAAATGGAAGGAATACTGCTGGTCAAGGATGTCTGTTTCATCAGCAGATTCTTCTAAAATTACTAGATAACAAAATGGCTAAGTATATTTCAACTTATTCATGATAAAGGGAGAAAATTTTGAAGTTGCCAAGGATTTCATTTTACTTGGACTCACAATTGAAGTCCATGGAAGTAGCAGTGAAGAAATCAAATGACGTATTACACTGAGCAAATCTGCTGCAAAAGAACTCTTTAAAGTGTTAAAAAGCAAAGATGTCACTTTGAGGACTAAGGCGCACCTGATCCAAACCAGGGTATTTTTAATCATCTGTTTGGAAGAAGTATAGCCAGAATGCTTCTTAGAAGTGAGGATAATAAGATTTCATCTCACTTACTTTGGACATGTTGTGGGGAGGGACCAGTCCCTGGAGAAGGACATCATACTTGGTAAAGTAGAGGGTCTGTGAAAAAGAGAAAGACCTTCAATGAGATGGATTGACAAGTGGCTACAACAATGGGCTCAAACATAGCAACAATTGTGAGGATGGTACAGGACCAGGTAATGTTTCATTCTGTTATATATAAGGTTACTATGAGCTGCAACTGACTCAATGGCACTTAATAAGAACACATTTGAACTTGAGGTTGAAACTTTATTTTTCTCTTTATGTAGCTCTGTACTGTTTGGTAAACTCAACTCAGTTTCTCTGGTGAGGTTCCATAGAAGCAGAGCCTGAGGCAAGGGCTCTTATTAAATAATTTTTGGGGCAGCAGTCTAGAAAAGAAGAAAAGCAGGAGAAGATGGATAGGGCAGGGAAAGGATGTAAACAAAGACGTAAACCAAGCATGATGTCCTTTTCCAGGGACTGGTTGCTCCCAATAACATGTCCAAAGTACATGAGACAAAGTCTCACCGCCCTCACTTCTAAGGAGCATTCTGGCTGGACTTCTTCTAAGACAGATTTGTTCATTCTTCTGGAAGTCCATAGTATACTCAGTATTCTTTGCCAACACTATAATTCAAAGACGTCCATTCTTCTTCAATCTTCCTTATTCATTGTCCAGCTTTTGCATGCATATGAGGCAATTGAAAATACCATGGTGCACCTTAGTCCTCAAAGTGATATCTTTGTTTTTAAACACTTTAAAGAGGTCTTTTGCAGCAGATTTCCCCAACGCAATAAGTTGTTTGATTTTTTGACTATTGGTTCCATGGGCGTTGACTGTGGATCCAAGTAACATGAAATTCTTGATAACTTCAATATTTTCTCCATTTTTCATGATATTTCTTATTGGTCCAGTTGTGAGGATTTTTGTTTTCTTTATGTTGAAGTGTAATCCATACTGAACGCTGTGGTCTTTGATCTTCATCAGTAAGTGCTTCAAGTCTTCTTCACTGTCAGCAAGCAAGGTTGTGTCATCTGCATATCACAGGTTGTTAAGGAGTCTTCTTCCAATCTTCATGTTCCGTTCTTCTTCGTATAGTCCAGTTTCTCAGATTATTTGTTCAGCATACAGATTGAATAAGTATGGAAATAAGATACAACCCTGACACATACCTTTCCTGACTTTAAACCATGCAATATCCCCTGTTCTGTTCAAATGACTGCCTCTTGGTCTATGTACAGGTTCCGCATGAGCACAATTAAATGTTCTAGAATTCCCATTCTTTGCAATGTTACCCATAATTTGTTATGATCCACACAGTTGAATGGCTTTGCATAGTCAATAAAACACAAGTAAACGTCTTTCTTGTATTCTCTGCTTTCAGTCAAGATCCATCTGACATCGTCAATGATATCCCTTGTTCCACGCCCTCTTCTAAATCCGACTTGCATTTCTAGCAGTTCCCTGTTGATGTACTGCTGCAACTGCTTTTGAATGATTTTCAGCATAATTTTACTTGTGTGTAATATTAATGATTTTATGTGATAATTTGCACATTCTGTTGGATCACCTTTCTTTGGAATGGGCACAAATATGGATCTCATTCTACATCCTCTTCTGAATCTGGCTTGAATTTCTGGCAGCCATATGCTACCCAAGGGCTCCCATTATTATTTAATTTAGTAAATATTTATTTAGGACAATCTTAGTTGTAGGCAGGAGCCCTGGTGGCACAGTGGGTTAAGTGCTCAGCTGCTAATCAGAAGGTGGACAGTTTGAACCCAACAGCTGCTCCACAGGAGAAAGATGTGACAATTGCTTCCATAAAGGTTACAGCCTTGGAAAAACTATGGGATAGTTCTACTCTGTCCTATAGGGTCGCTGTGAGTCGGAATCAGCTTGACAGCAATGTGTTGTAGTAGGCATTGGAGATAAAAGTGGATATTAAGAATAGACAAGTTTACTACACTCTTGAGTTTTGGGATTACTAACAATATTCATCCATTTTTATTCAACAAATGTGCATCAGCACTCCTTCATTACAGGATTCAGGCCACTCCCTTTCAAAGATCTGCCTGACTAGAGGTCAGTTCTACTCTGGGCCTTAGGTCAACCAAGATCTTCCCGTCACTGTATTTTTCCTGCATTCACTTTTCCTGACTCTTCTGGGTCATGCTAGATCAATGGTTCTCAGCCAGGAGCAATTTTACTGGTACAGGGTATTTTATCGATGTCTAGAGATATTTTTGATCGTCTTCACATGGTGATGTTTCTGGCATCTAGCAGGTGGAGGCCAAGGATGCTACTAAACATCCTACAATGCACAGGACAGCCCTCCACAACAGAGAATGATCCAGCTGTAAATGTCCATAGTACCCAAGTTGAGAAACTATGGTAGAGCAATAATTTCTAGACCAGGAAATAAGTGAAAGACATCAAAGAGGATAATCAACTACTGTTCCAAGTTCATTAGAATGGTCTTATCCTCTTGACCCCACCCAATTCTTCTGCCCAGCTGACCAAGGCCAAGGGCTCCACAGAGTGGTTGGCAGCTAAGACCTTATTGCACTGAATTAAGCCATTTTTTTAAAGTATCGATCAGTTTGTATCTCCTCCTCAAACACCTGATAGAGAAGAAAGCAGCAGTGCAGCTGGTTAGCGCTTTTAGGGATGCAGGATTCTGCCATAGATTTACCTCTTTTTGGCACAAGATGAAGGCACAAGTAAATAAATACTATTTTTGTAAACATAATTCCTACCACTTATTGAAAATCTTCTATGTTTTAGACACAGCCACTTGCAAATGAAGAAACTGAGACTGCTTAGGGACAGTGTAAAACCAAAAAAAAAAAAAAAATCCAATGTTATTGGGTTGGTTCAGACTCATAGTGACCCTGTAGGACAGAGTAGAAATATCCTAATAAATGGTAAAGTTAAGATTCTGCTTGATTCCAAATCTAGTGCTCACCAAGAGAGTTTGGTCTTCAAGTCAACCCAAGACACTCTTTTTCTCTCTCAGTTCAAGAAATCTCCCCACTGAGCTGAACCAGTGTGAAGGATGTTTTGTCCTCCCAGTTCTCTATTGTATGGAGTCCTGGTTTGGGGCCATTCCTTGGTCCAATCTTTAGTTCCTACCCCAGGAAAGTTCTCTCCACAGAAAGTTCTGGACTCCTCAGTTCTGACCTCCAGCATGTAAGACTTGAACAGGGCCCCTTCTCCCACATAGCTTCTTTGGTGCCCTGAGTCAAGGCTGTAGGGATGCACGTAGCCCCATCCAACCCGTACCTCAGTCGATGCTTGCTAGTCACAGTGTTTCCAATTCTGTTCTGCTAATAGTGGGTCTCTCCCCTAACCCCTATGACAACTACATGCCTCCTATATGAGAGCTATGCCCCCTATTGTAACTACAAAGTTACAGGTAAGTCCCTGACTGGCTGCTCACAATCTTCTTGCACTTTCATGTGGTCAACATAGACTCTGACAGCCCTCATTGGTATTGTGATGGCTAACATTTATTGAGTGCTTATGCCCTTATGACCTTTCAGTTAGCAGTCAAGCACTTAACCACGATCCACTAGGGCTCTTTGAATTACAGCCTACTCAACGGCAACTGACAACAACAAAATTATTCCAGATGTTATTCTGAGCTCGTTTAGATCATTTAATCTCTTGGAACTCTTCAGAAACGTATCATCATCCTTATTTTGACAATAATTACATAGAGGCACAGAGAAGTTAAATAACTTGTCCAAGAGTGCACCATTAGTGAATGATAAAATTGGATTTGAACCCAGAGCCATGATTCTCTGTTGCCCTCAAAATATTATACATGCTATGAAGAGAATAAAAACTAGAGCGGATAGGAGGATGGTGGTCAGGGTGGGCCTCTCTGAAGAGTTGGCAGTTTTGATTTGAAGCCTAAATTGTGAGAAGGAGCCAAGAAAGTGAAGATTTTGGGGAAATGTGACTAGCCAGGGGAGACATCAAGCAGATTTCTTTGGATTTTTATCTCAGGTATGCTGACTCAAATGAATTGACAAAGACTAGAGTTTTCTTTATCTTAAAGTAGAAACTACAATAAGTTGCCTAAGGAAGTTTATGAAAGTCCTCAGGATAGGTCGATGGCAACCACCAAAGCAAGGTTCGATGAGTATAATTTTTGGGGTGGAGGGAAGTCAGTATGAGACAGTCGAGTTTACACAGTGTTCAGACTAAGACCAGAGAAAAGTATGGTCCAGCAGGAGTGGTGCTAGAAGCTACAACATTATCAGGAGAGATATATATGAGCAAATAATCTGTGAACATTTGTTGTTGCTTTTGTCCTCTGTTCACCCTTGCTGCATTCACCGAGTACTTTCTCCCCCCTTGATGTTTGTAGGAAGGAGTCTATATCCTTGGAATAGCAGATTTTCATAAGAAGTATTAGGTATTAGTTGGGCATCATTCATTTTCCTTGGCAAATGATGAAACTTTTGATATGCTGCTTCATGTCTATCTTCAGGAATATTCTAGCATATCATGAGCAGTACTTATTTTCTGTCTTCAGATTACATATTCAGGATACCAGTTATTACCACTTTGGATCTCTGTTGTCTGTTCTTAACTTCCATTATCTCACTGAGAGCAAGTTCCTCTGCTGAAAAGTTTCCTTAGAGCCCCCTTCATGTCCCTGTTCCTCAGGCTGTAGATGAAGGGGTTCAGCATGGGGGTGACCACAGTATACATCACTGAGGTTATTGAGCCTTTTCTGGAGGGATGGGCTGTTCCAGAAGTGAAGTAGACCCCAAGGCCCATACCATAGAATAAGAAGACAATAGAGAGGTGAGACCCACAGGTGGAAAATGCTTTATACTTGCCTCCAGCAGATGAAATACCCATTATTGAGGAAATAATTCTAGAATAAGAAAAAAGTACCCCAGTCAGGGGAATAACACCCAGCAGGCCAGTTACAAAGTATAACAGGGTATCACTGATAAGGGTGTCAGAGCAGGCAAGCTTGAGGATCTGAGCAAGCTCACAGAAGAAGTGGGGGATTTCTGTCTCTTCACAGAAGGAGACCCTCAAAACCATCAAACTTTGCAGCAAAGAGTATATCAGGCAGATTAACCAACAAAGCAGAAGCAGGAGACCACAGCGGCGTGGGGTCATGATGACCATGTAGTGCAGGGGGTGGCAGATGGCCACAAACCGGTCATAGGCCATCACTGTCAGTAGCAAATTATCCAGTCCAGCAAAAATCATGAAAAAATACATCTGGGTAAGGCAGCCTTCATAGGTGATTGCTTTGCTCTGTGTCTGGATGTTCACCAGCATCTTGGGGATGGTGGTGGAGGTGAAACAGATGTCAGTGAAGGATAGGTTGGAGAGGAAGAAGTACATAGGGGTGTGGAGGTGGGAGTCTGAGCTAATGGCAAGAATGATAAGCAGGTTTCCTATAACACAGACCAGGTACATGTGCAGGAACAGCCCAAAGAGGAGGGGCTGCAGGTCTATATCTTCTGAAAGCCCCAGGAGAATGAATTTTGAAATAGCTGTTTGATTTCCTGATTCCATATAACTTATGGAAATTGCCTGCAAAGAGGCAAGAATAATGTTAAAACAATGACAAGACAAGAATGTGCCATACATTTAAAACTCATCTAATCATGAAAACTTAGTTTTACCTAAAGAGTCTGTTTTCTTTAGTTGACCTTTGTTGTTGTTAACTGTTGTTGAGTTGGCCCAACTCATGGCAACCCAATGAAACAAAAGGCTGCCCATTGTGATCCATAGGGTTTTCATTGGCTGATTTTAGAAAGTAGATGTCCAGGCCTTTATTCCTAGTCCATCTTAGTCTGGAATCTCCACTGAAATTTGTGCAGCATCGTAGCAACACTCAAGCCACACTGACAGGTAGTGGCTGCACATGAGATGCATTGGACAGAAATTAAACTGAGTTTTCTACATGGATGGCAAGAATTCTACTACTGGACCACCGATGCCTTCATTGACCTAGATTTCTTAAATGCCACTTGCTTCTGCCATTATTACCTGGAATGCCTTGTCTTTAAAATGAATGTTCCACACCATGCAGAGGTTTCCTTTGCATTCTTCCTGACTTACAGCTATTCCATCTGTGCTGTGTAATTCCTGTGAAAAGATCGTTAACTTTGTGAACATCTCCCTTCTGCCGTGTCATTGTGGTCACTTTGAGTCCCAGGGAAATGTAGAAAGAAGAGGGAGTTTATTGGGTATTGCCAAATTTAATGTTTTATTGCCCATGCTATTTGCCAGCATCTTTAAATAGACTATTCTCTGTCTCAAGTTTGACTCAGAGGACACTGTGCAAAGATTTTATAGATGATTCCTCCATTCTTATGGTAACTTCTTCATTACCATACCAACTTATCTCCCTACCATCATCATAATGATCCATGTATCATGATATGATTTCTTTATTAGGGAAGCCTTCCCCAATCCCAAAGACCAAATTTGACATTTATCATGACATTCTAATTGTGGCCTGTATGTTTGTGTTGTAGTTTTAAAATTTTTATTAGGTAAGGAGGGACTATACGTTTTTCACTTTTATATCCCAAGCACTTAACATAGTACAACCAGTTGTGGTCAAGTCGACTCAACTCATGGTGACTCAACATGTATTAGAGTAGAACTGTGCTCCATAGTATTTCCAATGGCTGATTTTTCAGAAATAGATCACCAGGCCTTTCTTTCAAGGCACCTCTAGGTAGACTCAAATCTCGAACTTCCAACCTTTTGGTTAGCAGCTGAGCACGTTAACCACTTGCACCACCCAAGGACTCCACTTAACACAGTACCTGGTACATAATAGGTGCTCAATACATATTTGTTGAATGAACATTGGATTAGAAGAAAATTTCAGAGTGTAGTAGAGGGAATTCTCTATCATAAAACCTCTTATTTTAGTTCATTCCATTTTTTTAAAGCCAAATTAAGGCTTGAACAATAGGTCTCTGCCACCAGCAGGAAATTTCCAAGCTTCAAGTCAGTCTTTCTCAATTTTGTACACATATTATATAAGGAAAACTTTCTTCCTTTGAGTTGAAGTGTGTCTCTTTATAACTTCCGCAGTCTTAGTTTCTCTTTCTGAAGCTCTTTTCACTTTGCCATGATAATCTTTAAATATTTGAAGACATCTAAATGACTCATTATATCTCATCTTCATTTATTCCACACTTACTTGAGCACCTATTATATACCCCACCACCTGTCAGTTTGTCATATTGTGGTGGCTTGCTTGCATGTTGCTGTGATACTGGAAGCTACACCACTGGTATTTCAAATATCAGCAGGGTCATCCATGGTGGACAGGTTTCAGGAGAGCTTCCAGACTAAGACAGACTAGAAAGAAAAGCCTGCTGATTGATTTCCAAAAATTAGCCAATGGAAACCTTATGGATCACAACAGAGCATGGACTAGCTTGCTTTGGACATGTCATCAGGAGAGGTTAATTGCTAGAAGAGGATATCATGTTTGGTGAATTATTGGGGTGGTGAGGAGACCCTCAGTGAGATAGATTGGTGCAATAGCTGCACAATGGACTCAAACATGCCAGCGATCATGTTGATGATGCAGAACCAGACATGTTTCATTCTGTAGTACATAAAGTCACCATGAGTCACAGTTGACTCTATGGCAGCTGTCTATCTATCTATCTCTACCTACTATATACCAGGCACTGGGTTAGGACTGGGGGTAGAAAGGTCAGAGGCATGAGCTCTGCTTTATTATAGTTTTCAGTACCATGGAAATGTTGTTGCTCTTTTGCAGTGATTATTCTGATGAAGACACCGGTCCACTTGAGGAAAGTGATTCTTAAATATTTTAGTGATATTAACTAGTCAAGCTTAATGAATATTAATTTGGTTGCAAATTCAAGAACTTTTTGTAAAAGAAGATTAATGATGAGGACTGGCAATTTTTAAAAGAGTGTGATATTTAGAAATACAGAGAAATCAGTGGAGCAAAATGTGTAGTCAAGAAATAGATACCATCTAATATGAGAATTTAGTTCAAGCAATAAAAGATAAATGATGCTTAGAAAATTAGAAAACTATTTTTAAAATTCTCCCAAATAAATAACTGATAGAAAAGAAGGTGACTGGCAAAATTGAAATCGGAACACTACTAGAAGTAAATGGAGGTTAATATTTATATGGCCCCTTAACTGTGCAAACTTCTAAACAGCAGTGTAGTGAAAGAAATCAGAAAGGAATAGCTGAGTAGCGTAAAGTACATAAAATAAATAATTTCTGTTTATCAAAACTACCAAATAACATTAAAAGACAAATTAAAGCCTGGGGGTGGAGAATCTATAATATAAAAGAAAATATAAAAGTGCAATAACTTAATATGCTAGAAAGCTCTCAAAAACAAAAAGAAAAACAAAAATACAAATAAATGGGGAAATACACACGTATAAAACAAAAAATGTTCAAGCTTCATAGTGATCAATGAAAACAAAGCAAGAATTAAATATAATTTTTATTTAAAGAAATACAAAACAAATGTAATGAGAATATCAGGTATTGATAATAATGAGTGAACTTGGCATGATGGTGTAAGAAAGGACTCAATTTGGCTTAGGTATTCTGGAGGTCAAGTCAGTATTAAAAACCTTCCAAATGTACTGGGAGCTCTCTATTTTAATTCTAGGAAATTAGGTAATAGATTGGCCAAAAAAGATTTAAGTATAAGAATGTTGATAACATTACTGTTTATAGTACTTTAGAGTATACTGTAGAGTATTTCTGTTAGAGTATACTGTTAGAGTAATTGTTGTTAGAGTATAACTGTTGGAGTATAATGTTTACTGTATTGTTGTTAGGCTGTCATGTTGGAATATATTGTTTATAGTATCACTGTTAGAGTATAATATTTATAGTAGTAGAAATTTTGAAACAACCTAAATGGGATGGTTGAAGAATTGTTGTTTTTTTATATAATTATTTATAACTATTAAAATTATGTTTTCAGGGAGCAATAAAATGAAAAAAATGCCCATGTTATAATGTTAAGTGGAAAGAAGAAAACAGAAAGCCATTCTTATGAATTATAATTGGAAAGAAATTAACTGGAACATCCACGTTGTTTATATCTCTGAGAGGTGGGATTATACATGTCTATTTTCTCTTTTTCTGCTTTTTCGTAATTTTCCACAATGATCATATATTACTTTGTGATCAGAAAAAAAAATTAATAAAGAACTATCTTAGAGTATATTTCAGGATGCCCCTCCATTCTCACTGCTCCCTTGATTTTCCCTGGGGCAGATCAGGTAGAGACTAGGCCCTCAGTAAAAGATAACTTGTCATGAGCCATTATATTAGGTTGAGAGGGAGAATAATATCTGGGAGAAGAAAGAAGAGGAAACAACAGGAATAAAAGAAACAAAAATTTAGAGATGGAAACAAGGGAAAGAAATGAATAGATTATAATTAGTGTGTTCAATTTAAGGAGTCCCTGGATGGTTAACATGATCAGCTGCTAACCAGAAGGTTGGAAGTTTGAGTCTACCCAGTGGTGCCTCGGAAGAAAGGCTTGGTGATCTACTTCCAAAAATATCGGCCATTGAAAACTCTATGGAGCATAGTTCTACCCTGACACACATAAGGTTGCCGTGAGCCAAAGTTGACTCGAGGGCAACTGTTTTTAGGAAGATAACATATTATAGATACCACCTTATATGCAGGACCTAGATCACTTTTAGGCATAGGAGAGGTGCTCTGTGGATGTGGAAAAGCCTGTTTTAGAAACAAAAAATGGGGGGAGGGGTTTCAAGTGGTAGAGAGATAGCGATGGGGTGAGGGGCTGGCAGCAACTGAGAGACAGAGCAAAAGGAGAGCAGACTTGAGATGAGAAAACATACCTGGGCTTGGAGAGCCTGTCCAAGGCCAGAGAATTTATTGACGTTGGTGGGATTTTCTTCCCCCTGTAGCCCTGCCTGGAGTCCCTGGGTGATGCAGATGGTTAATGTGTTCTGCTGCTACCTGAAAGGTTGATGGTTCAAGTCTAACCAGAGGCAGCTTGGAAGAAAAATCTGGCAATCTACTTACAAAAAATCAGCCATTGAAAACTCTATGGAGCACAGTTCTACTCTTGACACATATAAGGTCACTACAAGTCAGAATTGACTCTATGGCAACTAGAAAAAAAAAAAGCAGCCCTGGCTATGCACTAGCAAAATGTGCAAGTAAAAGCTTTGGCCCCCTCTTACTTCTTTCCCACAGTGCTTTCTGAGCCACTTTAGGGCATCACAGTAAAGTCTGAGGCTTGGGCTCTATTATCTTTGCTTGTCCCAGTAGAGGACAAATAAGGACAGAAGCTATGCACCCATAGGGGCAAGGGCCAAGCGTTGGGGACAGGGCCAGACTGACATCTGGGGTGGCACAAGGGCATTTCTTCCTGGCCTGGGACAGCTGAGTCAGAAGGAAGGACTCAGTGGGATTATTTGCTCTCCTCGCTCATCATTAAATAAATTGCTATATTGACTCTTCCTGGAAATTTTCCTCCTTGGGAGTCATGGGAGTGATCTCTTCTGTTGTGT